TCTCCCGATGAGGCCGGCGGCTATAGCGGCGGCTGCTGTACCTGTGAATTATGCTTTATTTGTTAAAATATATTCGGGCGCATCGCGCCCTCATCGCCGCATCGCAGGCTTAATGCAGCGGCATCCGGGAATTTTGCCGGGAACGATGCTCTTTCGGAGGCATCGTTACATTATTATTATTAATGTGATTATATTATTATGATTAATATTATTATTTATATTATTTTTATTATGCGTTAAAGGAATATACGTTACATTTTTGTTATATGTTAAATATAATAATTACAAAAACATTTTTATTAAATATAAATACTGTATATCTAATATACATAAATAATATGAAATATACATGAAATATTTTTTTCTGCATAAATATACTACTTTATTTATTCCCTATTGGTGCTACCTAAGTATTTTTTGTTAAGAATTTTAAAGCATTAATTGTATTATTTGTATTTAAATTTAATTTTTATTAAAGTTTCTTAATCTTGTAATATTTTTATAAATTTTATATAACAATACAAAACTAAGAAGGGCAAAGAGCCAAATAAATCTATCGAAAAATATTAAATATATAAAATTTAATAAAACGCTTTAATAATTACAAAAAGACAGACGTTTCGACACCGATCGGGTCATTATCAATGTTATAATTAATAAAAGTATCGTTCGTTTTGTCTCTCGAGAGCTGCTCAGAGTTGCTCCGAACGAACCTAGCATACTTGGATGCGGTCTATTTAATGTTGTAGATACCTCAAAACATACTTTGATTGATCAATTCGTAAAATTTTTTCTTCTGATTGTTCAACAAAGCATTTGCAGTATTAAATGGATCACATCCAAGTACGCTGGGTTTATTCAGAGCCACTCCGAGCAGCTCCCGAGAGACAAAACGAACAATACTAAAGTTAACATATAAAAAATGAACGCATTCTTCTTCCATTAAAAATTGATCCTTAAATATTAATCTTTATATAAATCGGTATAGAATAAATCATATGTTGAAATAAGTATAAATTGATCCTTATCAAAAATACAAAAGAAGCAACAAGTCCATAATTAAAGTTCATCGAAGTCAATTAATATAAAATATATTTGAAAACTGTAAGTCATTTTGCGGTATCTTATCACTATGATGTCAAAAAAGGTAATGTTTATATTTTCAATATATTTATAATACTTACTTAATTGTTGTTTTTATTTTATGAAAGACATATTGCAACGTTTTTTTTACATAAAAGTTTTTATAGAAAATATTTAATAATGTTAATATAAGTTAAATAATAATAAAAATAAAAATTGTAATTGATTCTACTTTAATTTTTACGAATTTATTAATTTTTACAATTTATAAATTTACAGAAATTTGCGGGAATGGATGATAAATGTCGGACCAATCACAAACCGGGGAGAAGGTGGCCAGACTCTTATTAGAGGGTCACTACTATCATGTACTGAACCAGGCCATCTGGCAACTATATCTGTTATTTCTAAGGTATTCGGTTACGGACTGTCGTCGCGGTAGGATCTATCTGAGCGTGATTCCAGTCTTGTGCAGAAAGAACTGAGATAGGACAGTGGTGTTGGCTGCTTTTAGTATTTGAGCGTCTTGATCGCTCTCGAGCTTGAAAGTTTTTATTTTTTCTACGGTTTCAATAAACAGTTGAGGCATATATTCGGTTAACCTCAATCGAGGCGCCATGCCCACGTCCCCTGGGGAGGGGGGCCTCGGCGACGGAAATGGCGCGTCGGGCGCGTCTTTCTCTCTCAAACCTTCGAACTTCAACTTTAATCCTTCCTCTCCCGCTGACTCTGATCTATCTTTCTCTTCCACACCTTCTCACAGTGATCAAGTGCTACAAAACCTTTCGCTTGAAGTTTTATACAAAGAGACAGGCATAGCTTTGTCCCCAGTGGCGTCAGACAATGCAACGTCGTGTGTTCCGATGTTTTCTAAGAACAGTAACAACGACTCGGTTTCCGTTTCTCAAATATCTGCGGGATTAGAGGAAGCAATCGGCCCGACAATACATAAGGACTTAGATATAACGTATATGGATATAGATGAGCAGCAGAGACAAAATAAGAAACGGCCTTTGCCGAGCTCTACAGAGGATGAAGATCTGATTCGGTCTTCACAAACCCCCCCTGCCAAGAAAAGCACAGGTGAGAAAGAAAGCGTAAGTAATTCAGGCCTGTCACATAACCTTCAAGCAAAATCGCATGTAACCTTAGACACGGATCGCTTAACTCAAGCCTCGAATAATCAAATTGTGTCGCGCTATGGACCACGGGATGCAGGTCCATACGTAGTTTATGTATACCCCACCGCACGAGACAATGCTTTGCATGCTACGCTTGTTAGCAGAATTATAGTTAAAGCGGGCATTCCGGATATAGTGGAGATCAAAAAAACCGACAGAGGAAAAATTATGATAACTGTCATGACTGCCACAGGTGCTAATAGACTAGTTGAAAATTCAATTTTTGCCAAACACAACCTTAAAGCATTTATCCCTGCTTTTAAAGTTCTTCGAACAGGGCTGATCCAGGATGTTCCTCAACAATTTGATTTGGATACAATCAAAGAAGGTCTTGAGTCTCCCAGAGCTAAAATATTAGACATCCAAAGACTAAACAGAAAAATCACCATCGACAACAAAACAGAATACGTTCCATCCAGGACCATTAGGATTAAATTCGCCGGACAGATTTTGCCAAAGGAGGTATTTCTTTTTAAGGTTAAGCACGAGGTGCGCCCATACATCCCAGCACCAAGGATATGTCATAGATGTTATAGAGTTGGACATGTGAATAACTCCTGCAAGAGCAATCCCCGATGCAAATTCTGTGGAGATGATAGTCGCGATAGAGATAATGACGCTGGTTGTCAATGTAACATACAAACAGAAGCTCCCAAATGTATTAATTGCCAGGGCAATCACTGGGCTAATGACCGCGCCTGCCCCATAGTTGTTAAGCATCGAAGTGTTATCAACACGGCTGCTGTTGAAAACATATCTATAGCTGAAGCTAGGATAAGAATAGAAAATGGATGGGTTTCTTCGTCCTCGCCTAATAGCCCCCCGTTTGAAACTAATACCCGAAGTTTTGTGTATGTGTGTGGGTTAAGCGTGTGAGGTTCGGTGAGACAATGCAAAATATGATAATGTTAATGAGCACTTTATTCAGGCACGGTTGTTGTGTGCGATCGTTACAAGAAGTAGCGGGAACGGAAGGTACAGAAGCACGAACTACGAACGGTAGAGAGTGTGTTCGACGGAAGCTTGCTCGTGATTGGTCGAGATATAAAGCGCGTTTTACATAAGTGCGTTCGTACGAAATAAGTAACTATAGCTAAACGAAATATTACGATTACGGTTTACAGAAAAACATATTCATACATAACATTCTTCCCTCCTTACAAAAGAAAACAGAATTAACTTGGAACATATCTATTAGGAGGATGACGAGATCGAGTCGACCTACGTGGTATAACCGGTGGTGTAAAAAATAGTTCTGGTGACGACTCTTGCGATCTGATTGTTGAGTGGGCTGGCGTCGATGGTAACTTCACCATCTTTGACTGTGGATTTGGAGTCGTAGAACCCACTGCTTCATTCGGGATGACTTGTGGTTTATCTCCATAGAAATGAACTCGTCGGGGTACGCTAGGTTGCGTTTCTTCAGTTTGTGTTAGATTGCGATCAGTTGAACATTCTGATTCCTTACTGATGAATGCGCGAATCTGGTCTACATGTCGCTTAAATCGTTTACTGGCGTATTCTATTTCATAATGAAGATCTCCTAGCCTGGTAACGATTATGCCTGGAATCCATTTATCCATCCGAGGATTACCCGAGAGGAAATAAATTGTTTGTCCCGGTTTAAATGATCTAGATGAAGGATCAAGCTGTAGTTGTTTCTCCTTCATTTTGGTGTACATACTATCAGGTCGGACCAAGTCTAACCGAGTTCGTATATTGCGACCTAAGAAGAGTTTAGCAGGAGGCTGTCCTGTTGTCGCGTGTGGAGCCTTACGGTATTGTTGCAGAAATCGGTTTATGTTCTGTTGTATGGTCCCTTGAGTAGTAGACATCGTATTTAAAGCATTCTTGATGGTTTGTACGTATCGTTCTGCTTGGCCGTTTGTCGAAGGATGATACGGCGCTGTAAGCTTATGATATTTGACGCCGCTGACTTGTAAGAACGTTTCGAACTCAGCGGAAACAAACTGGCGACCGTTGTCTGAAACTATGGTAACTGGAACTCCATAAGTTGAAAATAATTCGTCTAGGATTGCGATTGTCGCTGCAGTAGTCGTAGAGTTGGTGACTTTCACCTCGAGCCATTTGCTATATGCGTCTGTGATGATAAGCAGCATCACGCCTGCTACGGGTCCGGCGTAATCAATATGTACGCGTTCCCATGGCCCCTTAGGATACTCCCAATGGTGGTTCCTGGATTTCGGAGGAGCATGAGCGTGCTTGGCGCATTCCGCGCAAGATTTTGCAACCCGCTCGATGTCTGCATCAATCCCTGGCCAATATACAAATGATCGAGCGATGCCCTTTATTTTAACGATTCCTACATGTGCCGTATGCAGGTCGTTTAATATTGCTGGTTGTAGCGAGGCTGGTATTACCACCCGATGTTCGAATAGCAAACAATCAGCAGTTAATGAATACTTGGCTTCAGGGGCTTTGTAGCCTGCTCGTGGGAGGTCTCGGCCAGTTTCTAAGATTTTGACGATCTTGCCCAAATGTGGATCCTTGCGTGTCTCCTCAGCTATATGTTCTGCACGAACTGGAAGTTGTCTAATTTGGCATAAAACAAATTCATCGAATTCATCGTCTATTGCTTCTTCCTCTTTTTCAATTTCAAGTCTGTAGACTGTGTTGTTCGTGGTTGATAGCGGCAAGCGAGAACAATAATCTGCATTACTATTCAATTTAGACGGCTTAAATATTACTGTATAATTAAAGTGTGAAAGATAATCGGCGTAATTGGCCATACGACTAATACAAAGAATAGGGAGAGATTTTTCTGGATGTAAGATCTGAGTTAACGGTTTGTTATCTACGAACAAAGTGAAGTGTCGCGCGTATAAGTAGTAAAAGAATTTTTGTACGGCCCAGATGATGGCTAACGCTTCCTTGTCTATCTGCGGATAACGTTGTTCAGTGTGACTAAGTGTACGACTCATGTATGCTATCGGACGTTCTTGTCCGTTACTCAATTTGTGTGAGAGAATTGCGCCTAACCCTATTTTGCTAGCGTCCGTTGCTAGGACTAACGGAAGTGAAGGATCGTAACA